CAAGAAATGAGTCGCATCTGAAACGCTATCATGATCGACAAGTCCACGACTTGTTTGTTTTTACGCGATATTCCGCGATCGGATTAAAGATTGCATGATGAAATTCATTAGAAGTGTTAACTGATGCACTTCAATCTGATTGAATTTCATTCCATTTTAACAGCGGTTTAATCGGATTAGTATGTTTCTAACGCTAGCTGTACAGGGTGTTAAATTCATGATTCTTTTTGTTTGTTCAATTCTTTATTTTTTCAGTCACTCGTTCTTTCATTTATTTTATTTTGGTGAAGATGTAGATATTTGGGAATTTATACCATGTCTTTCCACTCACACTAAAAACTGTCTGAACCACGAATAAAGAATTCGAGAATTACCAAGGGAGAAATTACCGTCTGTCAGTCTACATAATTCGTTTAGTTTCAGACCGTAGCCTCCAATGTTTTTACGAACCCGCGCCGCCATATTGGATTCGCGTAGCAACTCGTTTTGTTTACGGCGTTGCTAACCTTTTCGCGCGCAACGTATACGTCACACGTGTTTATCAAACCTAACTACATAAACGTCTGTCACTGTTATTGTTATTAATTTTGGTGAGTAATATTTCGTAGTATATTGCAGTAATATTGATAACAATATTATTACGATCGTTGCGAACATCGTACTTGTGAATTATTTCTACCTTAACCTTACCAATATGCTAATGAAGACTTTCGTTTCTCCATATGTAGTCTGTCCCAGATGATGAAGCAGCGCCAGAAAGAAACAAGTCCAACGAGGTAAAAGTGATGAAACAACTGGATAACAACTTTTCGTTTCGTCATGTTTGGAGAATAGAATAGTGTTCACGGCCGTGTCTATCGCATCTTGGTGGAAGCATTGACCTTACGATTCTTTATTTTAGGGATACCTTTTGCGGCGTGTTCACCGAATTTCTACCGTGTACGGAGATTTACTGTGGAAGTTTCGACAACGTTTGAAGCAATTTGCGCTTACGAAAAGAAGACCGAAGAATTTTGCAATTACGAGCGAAGTTTGAAAATAACGATTCCAGGAAGCTCGACGCGGACGCCATGTTTATACATGAGAGTATTTAACATGCGAGCATAAATAAAGTAGTCAAAGGGCATATATAAAACAAGTGCGTTCGTTAAGTTGCATTTGCATTAAATCTCTTTCAGTATACATTTTTCATGTTTTTCAAAGAGTTGTCAGTTTTTTTATCCGAATATTGCACAATTTTTAATTTATAAAATATGGAATGATACTTTCATATTTCTAATTTTCTACATTTCTAAGTTACAAAAATTTGCATTTTTTAATTTAAGAAACTGGAAATTTCAAAGCTTGAAATTATTTCCAAAATTGTAAATGAATTAAGTCTGTATTCTGTTCCTTCAAATTCATGTTTATTAATGCGATAGCAGTACACTTTTGCAACCAAGCAACTATTTTAAACGTTGTCAAGAAGCTTTATTTAGCACCCTGTTTATAAAATTCATGCTCTGCATAAATAAACGGTAGAGAAAGTGCAGATAATATTTTAAACCTGACCTAAATTTTATTTTTATTTTTTTCATAGATCACCTGTAAACCTACTTTCAAAGTTTACTGCTTTATTTGAATTCCATAAATCCCTATCCTACAAGGTAGCAAAAATGCGACCATTCCATGTATATAAAATTCTCTAACAAATATATTAAAATACAAAATAACATTTTTTCATATCAACTTTTATTTTTGAGAAAATAAATTTTAAATATTTTATTCACATATTTTACATTTGATAACATTTAATCAACTTTGTATATTAATGAAAATTATATCATATTAATAACAATTATTATAATTAATAATAAATAATAATAAATATTATTAATTACAATAATAATAATTATTATAACGTAATAATAATTATATATTATAATTAATGTACAAAATATAATTACTAAATTAATATTAATGAAATGACAGTCATCGAACTCTAATCAAACATAATATTAATTACTACATATTTCACTTAATGAAACATTAGGTATTACTAGAATGTGTTTACAGAATAATATATTCAATAGAACGATAAACATTTTCAACAAATTCTGAAGTAATAAAATTTATCGGCCATGAATATACTGCTTCACTGTGTCCTCCATTACACAACACAATAAACGTAAACATAAGTAGAGTTATTAACCTGCAGCAGGACCCATTTAATCGCAACATATGTAGTTACAATAGCTTGAATTAATATTCGTACATCGTAATATTAAAGTACGTAGTTATTCCACGATATCCCCATTTATAGTTACCATGTTACTGCATTATATTTACAGTTCAGTGCACTATTTGTATTTGCAGCCATCCTTGATAAATGAAACGAACGCAAATTTTAATTAATTTTCAGACTTTTAAATTTTTTAAATTTTAGGATATCTAATTTTTTATTGCTACATTTTTAAATTTCAAAATTTCCAACTTCTACATTTTTAAATTCCAAATTTTCAAAATTCCAATTTTTAATTTTTCATAATTTCCGATTTCAAAATTTGACAATTTCGGATTTCGAAATTTCCAATTCCTACATATTTAAATTTCAAATTTTCAGATTCCAAATTTTTTAAATCCCACATTTCAAATTTCAACATTTCCGAATTTCAAAATTCCCAATTTCGAATTTTTAATTTTGCAATTTCAACATCTCAAATTCTACACTTTTAAATTCCAAAATTTTCACTTTACACATTACCAAAGTCTCAAACACCAAAATTTTCGAAATTCCAAATTATTTAATTGAAGATACCAGAAATATCTTATCATTCTCTCCCAGTTTCAAATAACTAACGCACTGGCATACTCGCGAGTATGCAACTATCACCTACATCATCCACTGCTGCTTGATTGGGACTTCCGGCGAAGGGTAATTTTACATTTACACTACGGAGAACGGAATCTCTCTCTCTCTCTTTCTCGATCTCTCTATCTCTTGCGTTCGATCGGAGACAGAAATTATTCATCGATGTACACCCCTGCTCATAAATATTAACGACTGATGCATTCACTCATAACGAAAATAGAAAATTTATTTAGCTAACTGGGATTTCACTAAACCCCAAAATTTAAAAACCAGACTTCTTCAAAATTTTAGGAAACCGATTTGCTAATTTAGAAACGAAGATTTTGGTAAATTAAAAAAATTAGTTTTTTGAAAATGAAAAAATGTAGGCTTTTGTAAATTTAAAAGTTTAGTCCAAAATTAAAAAATTAGAATTCTTCAAAATTTTAGGAAACCGATTTGTTAATTTAGGTATAAGGATTTTTGTAAATTAAAAAAATTAGTTTTTTGAAAATTTAAAAATTGAGGTTTTTGGAAATTTAGGAATTTAGTCCAAAATTTAAAAAGTAGACTTCTTCAAAATTTTAGGAAACCAATTTGCTAATTTAGAAATAAAGATTTTTGTAAATTAAAAAATTTAGTTTTTTGAAAATTTAAAAATTTAGTTTCTAGAGAATTTAAAAATTTAGTTTCTTGAAAATTTAAGAATGTAGGTTTTTGAAAATTTAGGAATTCTACAATTTATCATATGACAGTTCAGATTTGTGTAAATCCAGAAATGTGTAACGTTTGACTTAACGTAATCCAACACATATGTACGAGGAAGGTGCAAAACGCGTGAATGAAGGTTCACGATGAATTAACTATTCAGGAACGTGCGATAAATCGAAGGGCGCGAACGATTCACTGGATAGCCTTAACCGGAAACCCTGTATTTGCCGCAATCTGCATCATAAATTTCCCAAGAAACGTTATCTGCGATTTCTGCAAATTCGTGACTCATGGAATTTACCTACTGACTATCGTAGGCCCCTTCGCAAAAACGAAACATTTTAAACGTTACAGAAAACGAGGTTAAAAAACGAATTCTGTGAATTGAACAATGATAGTGACTATACAAAGAACTTCCGTTTTGTTTTCTTTTAAAAAGGAAGAATGTGTACACATACTGCCGTATTTTAATCTGTCAACCAGGCATGACGAATTAACTCGTCGGTAAACTCATCAATTTTCAGTGCGAGATATACGGTACTCTAATAAAATGTTTAAACACTGAATGTTTATACTGAATTAAAAATGGCACGGAAGTTTCAGATGGGATTAATATTCATAATTTTCAGTTAAAATATTTATACATTTGATATAAATTAATTTCTGTATTAATTTTCAATAAATAATATACATATAATAAACATATTCAAAAAAAAATAAACATATTCAATAAATTGTATGAATAAAAATAGAAAATGAATATACAGTTTGTTAAGACTCTTTAAATTTATCATCAAAATGCCTCTAGATATGAGTATATTCTTATTAAAGATAAAATAATAAAGTATTTATGAAAGATAAGATAAATCTATTTGTCTTCTAATAATATACAATAACAAAAATTTAGCAAGTTGTTGTAACAACTTTACTTTAATAAACACAAAAAAACGAATGTCCTGAACTCGTAAACACCGACAATCTAACCTAACCGACAAACAAAAGAGTGTAATATACAAAGGTCGTGTGATAACAATTTTGTTGGATACAAAATTTAGCAAAACAAGTAAAAAAAAAATTTCGTTATTGTTCTACGGTTCTATAGATCGCAAACTTTTGCACGGTACTATGCAGCACGATAACCTCGATAGAAAAATATGAGGGTACAACAAGTACGTTTGAAAACCGCCTAGCAGTTCGCTCCAAAAGCATCAGTGAGAAACGCGCGAGACACGCTTTCCGTGAGAGGATGATTCACGAGACCCGGAGACGGACGCACACGCACACACACGCGCAGATAAACGTATATACACGACACGCCAGAGGTTAAATAAAATCGCAGCATGCACTTCAAAAGCGCCGCTCTATCGACACGTAATTACCGATCAACGAGCAATTCCGTCGGCACTTGGAGTAATCTCGGAACATCGCGGATGTAATATTAAAATAAAAATGCACTTACCACTCTCGATGTAAGGAACCAGCAACAGCAACAGCAGAAAGAGAACATATCCACACGTATCACTGATCATCGTAACCATATTCTCTCCCAGCGAGAAGCCGTTGTCCAGGTATTGGCACCACCTCGCGAATACGCGCGAACAACAACAAACAAAACAACAACGCGAGGACGCGAGGAAGTAGCGGTTTCGGAGCACGGGTAGTCACCGAAACGGGACACACGGGATACGAGATCTCACGGTCGGGCAAATAACGTTGGCACGTATACGAACGAGGGGCGATCAAAGACGAGCCGAAATATCGCGAGTATATTCGCCACTCGGACCGCGTAGCAACTGGATAGCACACAGCACACACTGGATCGTGTTTTCACTGACGTTACGTTGTAAACGCGTTCCGTTGGTCGCGCGCGCAACTTCTTCGGAGCAGCCGAATCATAAGCGTCGCGTGGAGATGAAAAAAGCAGCGGAAAAAAATGACGCACGGGCCACGGGCACACGTCACACGGCACGTCTTGGCTCGGGGTTGACAAAGCCTTTACGCCATCGTTTCTCCACCGATATTCATCACTTTCACGCGGACGGTCCTTACCACCGACGATCCGCCCCTCGTAACCTTTTTTTCTGACGCGAGATAATTCGTCTCGTTCGAGCCGCGTATACTTCTCGGCGATCCTCTTCTCTGTGACGACCGTTTGGCCGCGCTGTCTCGCCCTCGCGTCGTAACAGCTGACCGCTCTTTTTCTCACACTCTTTTACGAGACGACTCGAGATTTAGCAGACGCATCGCAGCAGCAACAAAACACACACACGACGTCGGCCAGTTGCCACCGTCGTCACTGGCAGTCCTACCACCGCTGAAACTTCGACTTCCCTGTGAGGATCATGGCGCCGACCTGTTCGTTCACGCACCGACCGCCAGAGCGCGACTGTTACCGCCATGCTGTAGGGTCGATTACTCGTAGGTGTATTCAAACGGAACGCGTTACCGCTCGTCGCCTGCGCCAATGCGGCTGCGCCACTGCGAGTCACGTGACTACCTCTCACGGCGCCGTAATTCAAAAGCGTTTGTTACAGAGTCGCTCAAGTGAGAGATTGTACATTGAAAATATGTATTTGTATACATCAGTGTGTTCTATACGAATACTTAATGAACAGAAAATGTAATGCAAGCTATGAATCTATTTGTATTTCAAATATTGACTTCGCTGATATTTATATTCGTCTGTTTATTGAAGGAATTAATTTTTTATTAACTCGCATATGTTAATATGATCTGTAGTTCATTTATTGAACGGGAAACATTTCTTCATTATTTAAAATATTCAGTATGTGTTCATATAGTGTGTTGACTGATGAAATTCATTAGAGATAATTTAAGAACTATTAGAAATTAATACCTTCCATCTGTTTCAGTATCTTTTTACAGTTTTAGTAATGTAAATTGAATGCTGGCTAATTATATTTAATATTGATGTTGAATCTGTTAATGCGTTCCCGATAAAGAGGTTTAAAAAAGTATTCTGTAAAGTGGTAATCTGTTCAAAAAATTCTTTGATCAATGGAAAGATATTCTTTCTTGTTACTTTAAAGCACTTTGCTATTTTTTGCTTTAGCATATTACTGAAGATTATTAATAATGTGACATTATGGTACTTAAGGAACTTTGAAGTGACTTCAAAAGTTCAAATCTTTTTTTAATATAAAATGTTAACATTATTGAACTTATTCAAGTTATTCATTCTTTTAATTAATTAATTGGTCACATTGGACGATTTAATTTTTCTAATTTTCTGTTATATAAATTTTATTTAATTATGTACAAAAATTAAGTTTTATATAGTTAATAATCATCATGATAATTTTATATCACTTTTTAACATTAAAATGTCATAATTTAAAAAATTTGTTTCATAGGATAGATATAAAATGTCCATTGTGTGATTTTGACCTGATATTAAAATTTTATAATTTTCCACATTAAATTAACTGACCGTATGAAAACTTCCAAAATTGATTGTTTAAATAATACACTGAATAAAATATTAAAATCGAAAAAAATACAGAAAGTAAAGTTTCATAGTGGTAGAAGATATTTGTACGTTGGTGGCGCTCCAGGCCACCCGGGAGTTTCAAAAGTCAAACATGTAGGAAATTTTAATATTCCGAAATTAATTGTTAAATAATTGCTATTTATCAACGACGATATTAATTTGAAAACTGGAGCGAGGAAATTAATCAAAAGTTTTCGTCCGCGTACTTTTAACGAGAAATCTATTACGAAATCGATGAAGATGCACTTAACCTCTTATTAACAGTAAAATTAATTTTCCAATACCGACTCAAAGTAAGAGATATACTTTTTTATTTGTACAAAACAGTTATTACGTTTAATTACCTTCAGATGCAGATTAAAGTTTACGTAACGTGATGTTTGCTTGATATTCTTTACAAATGGAATGTAACCTATCGAAAACCGCTGACTACATAGTCCGCATAGTTCGACAAGCAAACAATGGCAGAGAATGCGTTTGTGAATGCTAACCGGCACCCCAAAAATAATCAAAATAACGAGATAGTTAATAACAATCCACACACGCAAAATCCGTCCTCGCATAACTCAAGTAAATTTCATTCCCAAAATTCAATTACAATTAAAATCCTTAATAACTTCATTCCACGATAGCCGAACCTGAAAGTACGAAGAAACGAAAATCGAAAAATGTTGATCCAGCTTCGTCGGAGACGCAGTCCAGGAATCCGGTGAGAAAATTGTTTCAGGCTTGCATTCAATGCTGCAGGAAAAAAAAGACTAAGATAGTGAAGTCGAAGACAAGTTTCGTCGAGAGTATTAAAGAAAAGGCTAAGAAATGTAGAACGAAGAAAAAGCGAAGTAAACAACGTGCTGCTGCCACGGAACATCCGGACAGAGTGGAAGATAAGCAGGAAAAGAAGATCGAGGATTCGAAAAAGGCTAAAAGGAAGAAACGTAAAAAAGAGCGTAAAAAGAGTGAGCCTCAGGATGTTCCTCAGGACTATTCCGAGGATAGTCCGACCGCCTCTCCGCCGGATCACAGAAAATTGTCGCATCAGATTCTGGGGGCAGAGGCACAAGACTTCACGAAGAGCTGCTGCTATTTGTGCGCTCAGAACGCGATGGCGATCGCGGCTGCGATTTCCGCCCAGAAGGATAAGTCTAACGTGTACATTCAGACTTCCGTTCGCTTCAAAGAGAGAACTGATACCACCGATAAAAGTTGCAGCCCCATGATGTACGTTCGCACGGTGCAGTCGTCCGTCAAGGTGAGGACCCGCGATATGGGCACCCTTCATCCGGAGAAGAAGAAGAAGAAAAAGGCGAAACCGAAATTGAATTTTAAGAGATTTAGTATCATTCCGAAAGTAAAGCTTCCTGGATATCCGAGGGTGCGAACCGTTGCTTGCGAAACGGATAAATCGATGGGACATAATAATATACCACAATGTAGGACGAGACATGGAACACACTGTGTGCCGGAAAAAAAGTGACAATATTGTCCGAAGAGATGTTAGAATTTGCATCAAGTTTAATAAATATTTTCAATGAGATCTGTTTTGGGGACAAGTCTTTTGTGAAACTGGATGTATGTCGCGTGATAGGAATCTGACTTTAACTGTTGACGAAAGTTCTTAGAGTCTAAGCTTGTCTCAGGGTAGTCAACCCAAATAACGTTCCTTACAGCTTCCCTAGATTTAGCAGAGCTTTCGACTAACATTATACACCTAATTCTTGTTCGTGTGTAGTAATCTTTTCCTGAGATTTAGCGGTAAATAAACTGTTTTATATTATGAGCTTTTTAACACCATTTGAATTTTGGTATCATTTTGATAAGTATTTTAATTAATCAAAAATAAGACTACATATTTTAGTCAAAAATGTATAGAATCTTAAAAATATTCGTACTTGATAATTTTATGCAATTATTTTATTAGAGAACATCCAGATGTTTATGCTCCCGATATACTTTCGTTTTTGCTCCAAGTAATTAATCTAACATCCCCAAGTTTATCCACTGGTGCAATTTTACGATATCTTCTTTAAAAATTGCACAAGTACAGTTGAGAATGTAATTACTTTCGCAATTCACTGCATATGAATTTTACAAACTATATTTGTTATTCATGCGAACATTATTCATACGCAATCTGCAGCTTCAAATACAAATATATTCAAACTGTATTTACTATGTTCCTAATTTTCTATTTCGTTCATTAGATCCAATATGAATATTTTAGAAAGCATAATCTCAATTTATACAAATTTTATCATTCGTCTGCAATTATTTCTATGCAGTGTATAGGATTTAATATATTAACTGTTTATTTATATGTAAATGATCAGTGATGTTTTCACCTTTCGTTTATTCATACGAGAGTGTTAGAAATTAAAGCCAACTCAATTTTGTACAAGTAATTTCATTTATATTTATGTCAATATTCCTATGCAGTCTGTAGCTTTCAATATAAATTTATTTTAATTATACACTCACGCTATGTTTTAAAAAACATTACTAACTTTTTGATTATCTCATTTGCATTTCTTAATTGTACATTTAAATTCTTGAACTGTTCTTTTCTGCTTTGAAATTCTATTTTATTGCCTTGCGAATGGTGTAGCTGTCACCAGTGCCGGATTAAACCTTCACGAGCCCTGGACACTTAACATATCTTTGTTTCTTCACAGGCTTCATAATTTTTTTTGTTTGTCAGTCTAACGAAAGGGTGTTAATAAAAATATGAATCTTTTTAATAAAACTGAACTGCAACATTTGATATTTCCAAATATCTTTTTCTGTCAGAAAGGAACCTTGAATAATTTCTGACTTTATAGCATCGTGATTGATCGCGATTTCATCAATTAAAGAATTGAAGAGTTCAACAATTAACCAAAAATATAAATTGTAGAATAAAATCTTTGAAAAATTTTAAACACCAGAAAATTACGTTGATGCAAGTTTTGCTTAATCCAGCACATTCGGCAAACATCAACAAACAAATCCACAAAAATCAGTTTCTTAAAGCTCTATTTATTAATAATATCGCAGTTTATGTACATAAAACATTATCGTACGTTCGGTAACTTAAGTTCACTCTTAATCTAACTTTCCAACCCTTATCCGTTTTCCAACCTTTATCTAACATAAAGAGTTCCATAAAACATAACAATACACTCATAAAGTGTTCCTAGGACTTTACAAAAATTCTTGATGTCTCAAATAATTTGTTGCACATTTAAAAGATTCCGGAGTCTCCCGGATAAGGGTTAACGTTTCCCGTTACAAGAACACGATTGCACTTTTTTCATCCGTGGATAAGTAGTTCGAATCGATATTCGTTCATACGGTATCCGGTGAAGATACCACAGATCGCGACGGTATCGTCGTTGCGTTAACGTTGGCGTCATCTGGCGACGGATTCCCAAACACAAGGGGTGCCGTGTAGTAGGGTAGCAAAGGGTACTGTGCCGGTGGAAAATAAGTGGGTGGAAACAACCCTTGCCTCTGAGCGATCTTCAACCTCGAGGTTAGCTGCTTCTTCCATTTTGTGCGACGATTTTGAAACCACGTCTTGATCTGCACCTCTGTTAGGTTTAGGGACTTTGAGAGCTCCATTCGTTTACTTACACTCAGGTACTTGTCGATCTGTAATCCAAATTTTTATGTTAAAGGACTTTTCAGCTTTTCTCAAAAATATTATTCTTTGATCGTTAATTATATTTATTTATTTAACCCCTTCCCATGGTTTGACGAGTCTCACTCGTGACGCACTTGCAGCTCAAATGTGACAAACCTTACTCAAACTTTGAACATTCCTCAACTTGACATTTATGTCCAACTATAAGTTACATTATCAAGGATACCTGAATATAAAATACTCACAACATTTTAATTTTCTTTATTCATTTTAATGTTATAGTCCTGAATGGTTAGTCTTGATTGACGCATCTGTTAAAGAAATAGCACAGGAAGGGTTAATGTATGAAGTAAGGGGGGGATCAAGATTTGTCGCATTTATTTTTGAGGATATTAAAGTTTCCTTAAAAATATTATTCTTTGACGTAATTTTTTAGTTATGCACGATATTAATTTATTTATTGTATGAAGTAAGGGGCGATCAAGATTCGTCACATTTATTTTAAAGATATTCATTGTTCCTTAAAAATATTATTCTTTGATGTAATTTGTTAGTTATGCACACTATTAATTTATTTAATGCATGAAGTAACTGGGTGATCAATGGAAGATTTTACAATTTATTAAAACAAAAAATAGTATTCTTTAAGTTGATCTCAGGAGTTAATTTTGCATTAAAAATTCTACAGAAAAATTCGCTGTCGTATTTAGTTAAAGGGAAATAAAATTCATATGTGTGGTTTCAAGGAAAATATTTTGTGACATTTTATTTGGACCACCCAGTACATTATACACATAAATAAAGAAAGAAATGAAGGTTATGTTAATGTTTAGGGTTAACCACCCTTAACTTCCACAGTTTACAAGTGTAATATACATGAAGTACTTTATGACAATAACATAAAAATATCATTTTATTATGTTTCTTGTTACTGTCTGGCAAAATGGTCCTCATGCTGAATAAACTGTTTCATGACTAACACAATTATCAAATTATAAAGTAATCAAGTTTATTGTGGAAAGTTTGAAGAACTGTAAAAAGGACCTATAGTGTTTAGACCATCATGGTCAATGATTGTTTTAATATTTTTTAGGTTTCAATTTAAGTAAGTAGAAAAGAGTTCAGCCATCACTGGTAAAGAAGATTTAATCTCACCTTAAATTCCGATTCGAGCCTCTCCAGTTGTTTAGCGCTGTACGCCTGCCGCGGTTTCCGATCGATCCCCGGCTTCCTGGACCGTCGTCCACTGGGTTTGGGTGCTGTACAAACAATAAAAATACTTGAAACGTTTGACCAATAAGCGAACATTTCAACGAAGTTAAATATTAATCGAATGCCATCTTTGAGCAAGTGACAGTTGATCGCGACAGACCTTCCCGAAGATTTATGATAGTGATAATAAAAATTTAACATTATAATGATGCCCCTTAATTGTTCGGCTAACTTTGTCAGCTTGTACTCAATTACCACTTTCTCCGGTACGCTGTGCCGATTGGACCGCGACTAGAGTTACCGTGCGTCTCTAAAACATGTGGGATTGTTTGAGGAACGTGTGACATCTTAATGTCAATACGAGCCAGAACGTGGCAAAGAGTTGGACAAACAGTTTATACCGAGGAACGTTTGGATGCGATTATCATTATGGTGCAAAGAAGTTCCACACATTTCCGTTCAAGAGGTTATATGAGGTATTATACCGTTGTTAGTCGCATTTAGATAACATCACACCGCGGTGTAACTCGCGTCAAAAATCAATCGTTAACTACTACAAAGGAATCGTTAATTATCAATTTTATGAAATCGAATAAAATTGCAAGCTTTGTACATGTTTCGATTTTAAGGAACAATTTTATGTCTTGTAGCTTTATGCATTTTTCTGTAGGCTTGTAAGAGGTTCAATGTTAGGTTCAATTCGTTTGAACTAACTTTAAACAATACAATGTTTTTGCATTTATCTTCTTTTAGTAATTTAGAATTTTATTATATTTTTATATTTTTATTTTGTAACAAAATTTAGTATCCATTTGTCGATTTCAGACTTTCTATTTTATATTACAAAAATTATTTTTCTTTAACATTAATCTCATATTAAGTATATACAAGTATAACTTATGTACACATTTTGTACAATTTTTTTGACAATGTTAAAATGGCCTCACAATATTTAAAATATAACTAAAATTTTATTGGGGTTGAATAATTTTCTAGCGCCATTTTGAAGTCATTTAATTACTCAAACAGTTATATATGCAAAATTTTTCTTGATTTAATAAAATTCGAGGAGAAGCAAATATTTTTAAAGCTGACGTCATTTGTCTGTTTTCGTACACTTTTTTCACACTTCACTTTCTCGTTGATGTTTCAACACGATACTTCTTATGGAAATCATATAATATCTTGAAAATTATAATGATTTTTAAAGGTAGAGTTTTTAATCATTTAAATATCATTTATAGGAATTTAGAAATTTAATCATTTTCAAATTTGAAAATTTAGAAATATAACAATATTGAATTAAAGAAATTGATATTAATTTTTTGAAAATTTGAATACATAAGAATTTCAAGGTTTTAAATTGCAATATTTCACCTTATTTTTTAATATTCCTAACAAATTATAAAATACAAGTGTCAATAAAATGTGTACATTTGACCCTCCATAATTTGAATTAGTGATTAAGACTTTCCGTTTTTCCCGTGTTTCCGATTGTCCAATTCTCCAAACCCTAAAGGTCCTAATGACTACCTCTAAAATAAACTTCATTAATATCTCTTCCTCCCACATCCGTAATTTGCCGAAACGAAAGAAAACTTCAGATAAATTTATCCCCGACATAAAAAGCACGAACATTTCCAAGTGGCAGATAAATCACGTTTTTCGTAAATCACGTTTTGCGAAGAACCCCAATGTTTGCTCGAACTGATCGTTTCTCCTACGTCACATTAATTGCCTTCTTCACACTGGTGTGAATTAATCGGGACAAATTCGTTGTGCAAATCGGTCGTGTTTCTTAGAAGAGAGACTATTGGCCAAAAAGCGAATACAGTGACGAAGAACGAATACCTGCGAGCCAAGATTTACGAGTGTACGGAGACATTTAGCACCTCTCCGGAAGGTGGTTAGAGTAACGTCGTTGATAAATGGGTTCCTAACAGCATGGCGGATGGTAGCGAAAGAACAGAAACAACGATGGCGGATTCTCTGGCAAAAATTATTCACGTCTCAAAAGATCTGTCACTCTTTTGTAACAAATTATGTTAACACGTTTGCATGTACTAAATGTTTATTTACCTGTGTAATTAAATAAATTCAATTCACTGTTCTATGTTAAGAGTTCTATTGGAAGAATTATTTTTATCGTTAATACTTGTCCTGAATTTTAATATTAGTTATATTGATTTATTCACATGATTACATGAATCAATTTCAGTAAATTCTTATGAAAAATATTTCTATTGAAACAATTATTTTAATCATTAATATTTTATCTTGAATTTTAACATTAGTTTTCTTGATTTACTCGTGCAATTAAATAAATCGAACTCAAACCTCAATTCTATATGAACAGTACTTATATTCAAACAATTAATCCAAATTATCCTGAATTTTAACATTATTTAATACAATTTGTCCTTATAATTACATGGATCAAATTCAACCTTCAATTCTATATAAACAGAACTCCTATTGCAATAATTAATTTAATTACATACACTTTATTCTGAATTTTAATAGTGTTTAACATGATTTTTAATGTAGATTTTTACGTTAAATCTGTTCAAGTTTTGCAGAAATTGTGCTGAAATTATAAAGTGCATAAATGATAGATGATTTCATGGCAGACAGTTCAATTAGATTTGTACAAAATAATTTGTATAAAATACACGAGAAAGCACATCAAATCCATCAAAGATTAGTTAATATTTAATTTGAATTTTTCATACAAAGTTGTTATCAATTAAATCAATATTGACAACGAAGTTGTAGATTTGAAGTTTTAGCACGAATTTTGTCAATTTTTCTGAGTCTCTAATGATTTTATCGAGTGTTTAAGCACTTGAGTAATATTTACAGTGAAAAATGAGCAGAAAGGAATTAAAATACAGTCCGATAAATTAAATTTACACGAGCTTGACATCCGAGCAACTAAATATTTTACACCTGGCCGGTAACACACCGAAACATCATGGGGATGCAACACCCCAGCTGTTAATGTGACGTTCGCGTGTCGAATAGCTGTTACCATAGGCGCCTCGAGTAATATCCAATATTCCCTTGGAGCCAAGAAAGAACCCGACGATTTCGCTCTTCCCGGCATTGTTCGCGAAAATGGAATTACGCCGATAAGTTATTACGAGCGGATAATTAGAGTCTTTTGTTGTCACAGAAAGAAACATGTCGTTGTTTCAAAGGGTACCTTAGGAGACGCATTTTTTGAAATTTTTCGTATTTGATGTTGCTGTGTGATGCAAAGACTAGTTTTATGTAAAGATTTAATACAGCATTTCTAAAAGTAGGAGTTTAACAACTTTCTTCTTTGTGAACAACACTTCATTGTGGTAAAAAGGGGCAAATTTTGGGGATTGCGAAGATTTAATTCAGGTACATGAATTTTATGGAACAAGCAGTGATTTTCTTTTATTTTTTATGTAATTGATATCTAAATCTGCTTTTCATATGTTTATTCTTTTCATTGCTTATTGACACGTAAATTATTTATGAGAATAAACAATTAATTCAATCATTAATATTTTATCTTGAATTTTAACATTAGTTTTCTTGATTTACTCGTGCAATTAAATAAATCGAACTCAAACCTCAATTCTATATGAACAGTACTTATATTCAAACAATTAATCCAAATTATCCTGAATTTTAACATTATTTAATACAATTTGTCCTTATAATTACATGGATCAAATTCAACCTTCAATTCTATATAAACAGAACTCCTATTGCAATAATTAATTTAATTACATACACTTTATTCTGAATTTTAATAGTGTTTAACATGATTTTTAATGTAGATTTTTACGTTAAATCTGTTCAAGTTTTGCAGAAATTGTGCTGAAATTATAAAGTGCATAAATGATAGATGATTTCATGGCAGACAGTTCAATTAGATTTGTACAAAATAATTTGTATAAAATACACGAGAAAGCACATCAAATCCATCAAAGATTAGTTAATATTTAATTTGAATTTTTCATACAAAGTTGTTATCAATTAAATCAATATTGACAACGAAGTTGTAGATTTGAAGTTTTAGCACGAATTTTGTCAATTTTTCTGAGTCTCTAATGATTTTATCGAGTGTTTAAGCACTTGAGTAATATTTACAGTGAAAAATGAGCAGAAAGGAATTAAAATACAGTCCGATAAATTAAATTTACACGAGCTTGACATCCGAGCAACTAAATATTTTACACCTGGCCGGTAACACACCGAAACATCATGGGGATGCAACACCCCAGCTGTTAATGTGACGTTCGCGTGTCGAATAGCTGTTACCATAGGCGCCTCGAGTAATATCCAATATTCCCTTGGAGCCAAGAAAGAACCCGACGATTTCGCTCTTCCCGGCATTGTTCGCGAAAATGGAATTACGCCGATAAGTTATTACGAGCGGATAATTAGAGTCTTTTGTTGTCACAGAAAGAAACATGTCGTTGTTTCAAAGGGTACCTTAGGAGACGCATTTTTTGAAATTTTTCGTATTTGATGTTGCTGTGTGATGCAAAGACTAGTTTTATGTAAAGATTTAATACAGCATTTCTAAAAGTAGGAGTTTAACAACTTTCTTCTTTGTGAACAACACTTCATTGTGGTAAAAAGGGGCAAATTTTGGGGATTGCGAAGATTTAATTCAGGTACATGAATTTTATGGAACAAGCAGTGATTTTCTTTTATTTTTTATGTAATTGATATCTAAATCTGCTTTTCATATGTTTATTCTTTTCATTGCTTATTGACACGTAAATTATTTATGAGAAAATATTCTTTTATATTTTGTATGTTCACTTTATACTAAAGTCAGGGGTTGAGAAATAGTCGGATGATAAAAAGGGGTTGTGACGAGAATAAATTTAAGAAGCAGTGATACGATGGAATATTATATATATTATATCTTTTTAAATGTTTATTTCATTGCAATTTTTAGTCTCTATATTCATTATTTGACAATTTTGATTTCTAGGTTAGGAGTTTCTCATGAGCGGCAAATTTAAAATCGCAGAAGAAACTCACCCTAACTAGCTTGTAACTATTACATATTATTCACATATTATTTCACACATTATTTTATCTTTTATCAAACATATGGATCTAATAAATCAAACTAATAAATAAATCTAATTATTTTGTAGACTAATTTCAATTGTTATTTCGTTCAGTTTCATTTTAGGTCCGCCCACTTTATATTTACGTAATTTCCAAGTGCTCACTTGGAAATTACATAAATTTTCAAGCATGCTTGTTAGAGTTAAGAGGGTTAGTACAAACAATATTTACCTTGTAATCCGAACAATTGACCAGGTTTTGTTTGAGCGAACCAACTGTTGTATAAAAGCGACGCAGAAGCTAAAGACGTTGCCGAGTATCCTGAAGGATCTGAAAGTGTGACTTCGGAGTAGGATAATCCTGTTGGAGTGTACAAACTCGCATTTATGTCTGTAACAGTAAGATTATGCAAAGACGTAATTTACTGTAATAATGTCAGACATATTTATTTGAATCAAGTTTCATCTCGAAGAAAGACTTTGAATGAGAAAATCAATTTTCATGAGTTTGAAAATCGACAATTCAGAATTTCAAAAACAATGAAATGAAATCTTAATTGAATCAACATCTTTGAATTAAAAATTACTGATCGTTTGCATCTGGTCTCAAAACTTTCAAAGCCTAATATTTCCATTTGAAGAAAGAATCATCCCTAAATGTCTACATTCGAAACTGTCTTAAAATTATAATTAATTTGTCACAAATACCCGAATGCGTAGCCGGAACAGCAGTAGGTCTAATAAACTGACTTCCGTCCATTTTCTCCTCCCTGTCTTCCGGTTCCTCATCCTTGTCCTCAAACCCACTCAGCCCCGAAGCCTCGTTATCCTTCTTCTCGTGTCTCCCAAGGATATTATCAATCGTGAACGCACTCGAAGCAGCAACCGGCGAGCTCTTCCTCTCAACCTTCCTGTGAACATCTTTATAGCTTTCGTTGCTCGAATCCGACGCGTATTCCATCGTATCCTGATGGCTACCCGGACTCTTCACGAATCGATCACGATTTTCCCTCGTTCGCTCGTAATCATGTATCTTCGCCTCCTGCTGTAACGACGCTCGTCGAAGATCATAAATTTCATCGCTCACATTGCTGTGATTTTGGTAAAGCTCCATCGTCGACAATGTCATTGGTCACTCAAAATCTAATTTTAAACACAGCACTTTCAAACTTGCACTTCACGGTTTCTATTCTTCAATTATTTTACATGTTGTACTCCTTGTGTAGTGACGTGGTCCTTCGATTTGCATCCTCCGTATAGGTCCATTTTTCAGCGCAAAATGCAAAATTTTAGAAAGTGATCTGACGAATCTTTGCTCACATTTAAGCTCTAATCCGCCACTAATCTCCCTGTCAACCTTCAGCAAGTACCTCAAAATGTATGACAGGTGGCACGTGTCTGTGGTCCAGAAGGACCTCCCAGCCTCCCCACCAGCCGCTTCTGAGGGAAGGTCATCCAGAGATGCTGCAGATCTATCCCCACTCGTTCCTGTTACCTGATCGGAGTAGGGGTCAAAAGCTTATTCACACCGGTTTAACGTTGCTTTTGCTATCGTATCCGGCGATAAATCGATAGAATGCCTACTCGCGATAAACGTTTTTTTGCGAGAGGTTGCCTGACGCATTCACAATTTTCAGAATTACTAAATCATTGAAGATTCCCTACAATTTATAGCCGAATTGTTTGACGACGTTAGGTAATGTTCTATGAATTTGACGTGTCGTTTGCATCTGGTGATTCAGGATTGTTTGAGAAGTCGCTTCCTTTCAAATTTTTATCTGTAGATTTGAGCTACCCTTTACGTAACCTTTTGCTGATTATTGTGTACCGGGATGAATCGGCGTGTCGTTTGCACTTGTTCTTTGAGGATTGTTTGCGAAGTACACCCTTTCTAACTTTGTTCCTTTTTAAAGTTTTTGCGTAGCTTCTTGATATTCTTCTTTGAGGTATGTGTTGAGGTAGAGTATTGAAATTTTGAGCCCATTACTATAATTTTTTAGGAAATTCTATCATATTCATTTAAGCTTTGAGGTAATTTTTAAATGAATTTTTAAATACAATTTTTAAATTAATTTGTCAAATATTACGGTAATTTTTAATGAATATTATATTTCATTTTGTAGCTCATACCTGCTAATGCAGTATTAATAGTTGAGCTGTTATGTACATATACTTAGGGTGTTCGAATGTGATCAAGGGGATGATAATACATATTTTTGAAGGTAGATAAAATATACGATTATTATGGCAGTTATCAAGATTTTTCACAAATTTATAAATTTTGAGATTATCTTGAAAATTGTCATGGTTCATACAAGTATATCTATTTGAAAAGGGGTTGAAACTAAAAATTGTCTGAAACCATTCAGTAACTTTAAGATTTACATAAAAATTACAAAGTAACATTTATTAACGTGTTCATCATTTTAGTCTGAAATTTTGTAGAAAATTTAGAGATCATCTTGAAAATTGTCATGGTCCATACAAGTATACCTATTTGAAAAGGGGTTGAAACTAAAAATTGTCTGAAACCATTCAGTAACTTTAAGATTTACATAAAAATTACAAAGTAACATTTATTAACGTGTTCATCATTTTAGTCTGAAATTTTGTAGAAAATTTTGAGATTATCTTGAAAATTGTCATGGTTCATACAAGTATACCTATTTGAAAAGGGGTTGAAACTAAAAATTGTCTGAAACCATTCAGTAACTTTAAGATTTACATAAAAATTACAAAGTAACATTTACTAACGTGTTCATCATTTTAGTCTGAAATTTTGTATAAAATAATTTATTCCAAAAAGGGACAACAGCCATAATTTATACAAATATAAATAAATACCATAATAGCACAATAAAATAATACAAATAAATACCATAATAGCACAACAAGTACAAATAATACAAAATAATGCAAATAAATTGCATAACACATGCAAAATAATATTTACCAAAATTTAATATCCAAAAAAGTATCAGATACCAAAAAAATTGTCACGAAAATTTCAAAGGCAAACACTCTATTACGTATGGTCAAACGGTTCGATTTTTCAACATTGTGGTCATTTTTGGGTGCATTATGGACCCATAGGGAATACATCGCTTTAATACGGTGATATGCGCAGTAGCAAATTTCATCCACCGAAAAAGAGTTTATCAGGGGTGAGAGAGCGACGCTGCGATTGGTTCGAAAAGCGCATGCTCCCAAAATGGTGTCCGCCTTCTTCGACCCCTCTATCTCAGGGTTTTATGTCAGCAAACTAATGGTTCTTTCTTTATCCCATATACACCCTTGCAATGGATAAACGCTTCTGCCATACGAAGAACGCCGTGAAAAAGTACCGCAAAACACTTCTTCACGCGTTTACTAAACTCTGGACAGGGGTTCTCATTCGGGGATTTGTTTGCGGAGAATTGTGGATGTTCTTTGCTTTTGGGGAATTTTAATTAGAGATGCGTTGGAGGTAGCTTTTTGGAGATATACTACTTTTAGTACATAATTATTTTAGAGTTTGAGGCTTTGAAATTTTATTTTGACGCATTGGAATTTTTTGGCTTTGGGACTGTGAAATTTTCAAACTTTCAACTTTTCAAACTGGGACTGTGGAATTTTTCAATTATGGAATCTTGGAATATTTATTTTGGAATGTTGGGAGTTTGAGATATTAACATACTGGAACTTTGACACCTTGAAATTTTTTAACTGGAGGACTGTGAAATTTTTGAATTTTCAAGCTTTGAGACTGTGGAATTTTTTAATTATGGGAGCTTGGGATATTTATTTTGAAATTTTGGGAGATTGAGATTTTGACATGGTAGGACATTGACACCTTGAAATTTTTGAATTTTCAAGCTTTGAGACTGTGGAATTTTTTAATTATGGGAGCTTGGGATATTTATTTTGAAATTTTGGGAGATTGAGATTTTGACATGGTAGGACATTGACACCTTGAAATTTTTGAATTTTCAAGCTTTGAGACTGTGGAATTTTTTAATTATGGGAGCTTGGGATATTTATTTTGAAATTTTGGGAGATTGAGATTTTGACATGGTAGGACATTGACACCTTGAAATTTTTGAATTTTCAAGCTTTGAGACTGTGGAATTTTTTAATTATGGGAGCTTGGGATATTTATTTTGAAATTTTGGGAGATTGAGATTTTGACATGGTAGGACATTGACACCTTGAAATTTTTGAATTTTCAAGCTTTGAGACTGTGGAATTTTTTAATTATGGGAGCTTGGGATATTTATTTTGAAATTTTGGGAGATTGAGATTTTGACATGGTAGGACATTGACACCTTGAAATTTTTTAACTGGAGGACTGTGAAATTTTTGAATTTTCAAGCTTTGAGACTGTGGAATTTTTTAATTATGGGAGCTTGGGATATTTATTTTGAAATTTTGGGAGATTGAGATTTTGACATGGTAGGACATTGACACCTTGAAATTTTTTTACTGTAGCACTATGAAATTTTAAAGTCTTGTAACTTTGAGGTTATGAAATTTTTTAACTACAGAATATTTCAAACCCTGAAGTTTTTCAACTTTAAGACTTTGAAACATACAAATTCTATGTTTTGGGGCTTTTGAATGTTATAATTCTGAAACCTTGAAATTTAACTACAGGACTTGAAGATTAGACTACTACAGGACCTTGAAATTTCTATATCATTGAATCTTGGGACCTTGCTACTCTAATTGAGAATTATTACACAATTCTTGAAACCACAAAATTTTGAACTGACCAAGATTCGATAAATAATGTAATGCAAACAAACAAATAAAAAATTATTGATTCCAGTCTCGTATAAGAATTCGTAGCTTCAATTTTGAGATTAGTAATGAAACCAATAAAATTTAAAATTAAATTAGAATTACACATCTATCATTTGAAGGTTAATAATTATAAAGAAATTGTTAAAATTATACAAAATTAAAACTTGTTCCTCGATCACTCAAGATGGAATTAAAAATAATACTAAATTATCTTGAACGAACTAAATAACAAACATTAAATATAATTTTTGCAATATCTATATACTTTGAATAAAAAAAATTGAAGCAATTTGGTGATAAAATACAAAATTTGAGATTCGCGGTTCTCTATCTTCGTACACTTTATCGAACCATACACGATATTTCCGTTTACGGCCTTGAAATGCCGAGCATTTCCGCAGGAAGCGGAACCATTAGTTTCCGGCGCAGATCAGACCAATCTCAATGTTCGTCCTTATACTCCGTAAATCCATTGAGTTCCACACTGCGACTGGTAAAGGACCAATGGCGATTGTGAGTGCTTTCTATCGTGGATTCGTATCATCAATTCTTTCTTTGATCAATGTATAGCTCCTTTACCGATCTTCGAGCTGTGAAATTATTTTATTATGCTACAATTACTGTTACTTATTTAAATGATAGTTAGACGTGTGTTTACAGGAAGAAGACATTGTTTTAAATATGTGTATATGTTCTTTATAATTATTTTTTGGTAATCGTTGTTATGTGTGACTATTTATTTTTTTCTGATATTATTTGTTATTATTTGTTATGTTTATTAATATTATAAGTTTGTTATATGTTTGTTATAAGTTTGTTATAAGTTTGTTATTATTTTGTTATAAGTTTGTTATAAGTTTGTTATAAGTTTGTTATTATTTTGTTACAAGTTTGTAATAAGTTTGTTATCATTTTGTTACAAGTTTGTCATAAGTTTGTTATAAGTTTGTTATAAGTTTGAAATTCTCTAAATATAATACTTTAGAAATTTCTAAATTCCTACCATTCCAACTTTGAAAATTTCCACATTCTTACAATTCTCAACTTAGAAGATTGCAGATTTACAAAAATATCACTCAAAGAATTCAAAAATATTTTAATTTAAAAATTGCTAAAAGTCTCCTCACAAAAATCAATAAACTTAAAAATACCCAATCTTGAAATTTTTAAAGTTACCCTAAACATGATATTTTATTAGAACTTTTTACCAGAACAAATATTTTCCTTAATTATTCACCCCCTAATTATTTATTTGCGACTATCATGATACAAATCCAAATGTGCTTATCAGTGAAATTAAAATTTGTGCACATCTATTATGATCATTCCGGAGAAATTTGAGAGTGCAAGCGACGAAAACAAATATTAAGTCTCGGTTACATGAAACGGAATTCCGTACACCGGCTTTTCGTCAAGTGTGAAAGAAGGAAGTAACGATACGGTCAGCGCACACGGAATTTCACGGATTCGTGTATCTACGCTTTTTCCAGGAAACCATTACGGACCCTTCATCTTTCAAAATATTTGGAAATCAGATGGCCGTTTATTTTCCGCGCTATCAATGATTTGCGTCTGTACGATAAAAATTATCATTCTTAAATTTCTTTTATGACATCACAATTTTTCAAAATAGTACTTTCGCAAGATTATGTATCATTCAAGGTGTTCAATTTTTGGAAAAATAAAATAAAACAAGTATCTTGTTAGAAATTTCATATTTTCCCGCCAAGAAGCTGTTTGCATATTTTATGACTAAATACAGTTTACTTTATTCCTTTTTTCTGTAGAAAAAGATGGCGTTGGAGTGACAATCATATGTCAAAAATGACTGAATATAAAGAAGAAATACATAGAGTTTTTCATAGTTTTCTATCAACACTGCTAGCATATTCTCTCACTAAATAGAAGAAATTAATATACAGGCTGTTTCACATTTTTCTGTCAAACGATATCAATATATTCCACACTTGAAATATAAGTAAAAGGTATACAAGTTTCCCGCCAAAAGATAATAACATATCTTTATTATCGTATTTCACAGGTTTCCCACTTTAATTAAATATAAGAAATAAATCTTCATATTTTCCCGCCAAAATGTGTTAACATACTCAGACTGAATACAAAAACTAAATATGCAGATTACTTTATATTTTCCCAAGTCTAACTACACATACAAAATAAATATATAGTATGTTTTACCGTTTCAATTGCGCCGTATTTCCGTTAAAATAAATATCTAAGAACACCGTAGGATATTACAGAAAAGAAAGGTTCGACAAAATCCACAGAAGCGTTGTCTCATTGTTGCGAAGCTGAAACTTTTATACAAACGATCTTATTCGCCTATATGGATTTTACTTTTGCGTTTGATGCACGCTGCGCCCCGTAATTGAAACGATCAATCAAACACCTGAGAAAAGGAGGGTGTACTAGCGCGCGCACAAATTGCCGTGGGACCCTTTCACACACCGTGAATTTATTTCTATCACACTTCCATTGTGAGCGGCATTCGTGAAACGCGTTTATCTCGTTAAAACTTATTCACTTCGCTACTTATTTTTAGAGCAAGTAAAACAATCTTTCTTGAAATGCGTCGACTTTTTGTTGATAGAGTAACAAAAATTCGAACATTTTCACATTCCACAATTCCAAAATTTTAACATTCCCACATTCTAACATTCCAACATTTCAAAATTTTAATATTCGAATATTCTAACATTCTAACATTCGCACATTCCCACATTCCCAAATTCCCAAATTCGTAAAATTAAGAATTTCCAAATTGTCAAATTAGTAAAGTTTCAAATATCAGAATCTCCTAATTCTTGAAATTCTAAATTTCCAAATTTCCAAATTCTCAAACTTTCAAACTCTTAAACTCTCAAACTCTTAAGTTCTCAAATTCTCAAATTCTCAAATTCTCAAATTCTCAAATTCTCAAATTCTCAAATTCTCAAATTCTCAAACTCTCAAACTCTCAAGCTTTCAAATTCTCAAATTCTCACATTCTCACATTCCAACATTACACAATTCCAAACTTTTAACATTCCCACATTCTAACATCCCAACATTTCAAAATTCGAATATTCCAACATTCCCACATTCCCACATTCCCACATTCATAAAATTAAGAATTTCCAAATTGTCAAATTAGTAGTTTCAAATATCAGAATCCCCTAATTCTTGAAATTCCAAATTTCCAAATTCTCAAACTTTCAAACCCTTAAACTCTCAAACTCTCAAGTTCTCAAACTCTCAAATTCTCAAATTCTCAATCTCTCATGCTCTCAAATTCTCAAATTCTCAAATTTTCAAACTCTCAAGCTCTCAAGCTCTCAAACTCTCAAACTCTCAAACTCTCAAATTCTCAAATTCTCACATTCCAACATTCCACAATTCCAAACTTCTAACATTCCCACATTCCAACATTCCAACATTCCAACATTCCAACATTTCAAAATTCTAATATTTGAATATTCCAACATTCCAACATTCCAACATTCCAACATTCCAACATTCCCACATTCCCACATTCCCACATTCCCAAATTCCTAAAATTAAGAATTTCCAAATTGTCAAATTAGTAAAGTTTCAAATATCAGAATCCCCTAATTCTTGAAGTTCCAAATTTCCAAATTCTCAAACTCTCAAACTCTCAAACTCTCAAACTCTCAAATTCCCAAACTTTCAAATTCTCAAACTCCCAAACTCTCAAGCTCTCAAAGTCTCAAATTTACATATTCTTAAATATTCAACTTCAAATCCCAATTTCATCATTCCCCAAATTCTAAAGTTACCAAACTAACTAATTCAAAATCCGTAGAATTTTGGAATTAAAATTGCAAACATCAAATTCCTACAAATCTCAAGTTCTCAAATTCGTAATTTCATAACTCAATCAAAATTCTAAATGTGCCAGAACGATCTCTAAAGATACCTGTCCCAATATTCGTGTAAATTTTCCTAACAATCCTCAGCTGCTCATCGATGTTCATTAAGCAGCGTAGACAAACGTCCCACATGCAAACGATACGATATCTTCCGAGCACATATTTGGACACATGTACTAATCCCATATCGTCCGGTGACACCAGCAGCCGATTTACACGTAATCCGACACCTATGATTAAATACCTTTATTAAAAACCACTTACACCGGTCTTATGAATGTTTTAGTAACGGAGGGTTGCCAGGATGGCTCGGATGGGTCGGCGAGATGAGGTAATGGGGGCTTTGTTCCCCTGGGAACTCGCTCACCTGTCTAATATCTCGCGAGAGTGGCTATATCTGTGCCCATACCAATAGCGACCAGTTATACACCGGAGCTTACTGAAAATTAATCGCCCACTTTTCAAAGAATTCTCGCAATCTCTTTAATCTTCCGTATCCGTTTTAGACAGAACGATACCTCTTTTTCCGTCGTATTTTAACTGTTGCGGAATTGCATGCGACACGAGAGAGCTTGCAACAGTGGAGTTTGCGGAGGTAGATGTTTTTCAAATTGTTGGTTTAGAGGTTTAGGTGCTTTAGAAATTATAAGGGTAGTTTAGAAATTTATCGAGTTAAAAGTTTTGCAATTTTTACATATAAAAATTATAAAATAATTACATATAAGAATTTTGAAATTTACATATTTGCAAATTTAGGAGTTATCAAATTTTTAAGTCCGAAAGTTCTGAAATGTAGAAAGCACAGGGTTTCAAATTGTTGGTTTAGAGGTTTAGGTGCTTCAGAAATTATGAGGGTAGTTTAGAAATTTTTGGTGTTACAAGTTTTGCAATTTTTACATATAAGAATTACATATAATTACATATCAGAATTTTGAAATTTAGATATTTGCAAATGTAGGAGTTATCAAATTTTTAAGTCTGAAAGTTCAGAAATGTGGAAAGCACAGGGTTCAAATTGTTGGTTTAGAGGTTTAGGTGTTTTAGAAATTATGAAGGCAGTTTAGAAATTTTTGATGTAACAAGTTTTGCAATTTTTACATATAAGAATTACATATAATTACATATAAAAATTTTGAAATTTAGATATTTGCAAACTTAGGAATTATCAAATTTTTAAGTCCGAAAGTTCAGAAATGTAGAAAGCACAGGGTTTCAAATTGTTGGTTTAGAGGTTTGGGTGCTTTAGAAATTATGAGGGCAGTTTAGAAATTTTTGATGTTACAAGTTTTGGAATTTTTACATACAAGAAATACATATAAGAATTTTGAAATTTACATATTTGCAAATTTAGGAGTTATCAAATTTTCAAGTCTGAAAGTTCAGAAATGTAGAAAGCACAGGGTTTCAAATTGTTGGTTTAGAGGTTTGGGTGCTTTAGAAATTATGAGGGCAGTTTAGAAATTTTTGATGTAACAAGTTTTGCAATTTTTACATGTAAGAATTACATATAATTACATATGAGAATTTTGAAATTTAGATATTTGCAAATTTAGGAGTTATCAAATTTGTAAGTCCGAAAGTTCGGAAATGTAGAAAGCAGTGGGTTTCAAGAAATTTTAATATTTTGAAATCGAGGGAACTTTGAAAATTTACAGTCCCTCTACAGTTTCCGCTCACGCACAAAGTGCTAATCACGTTAAAAACATATGTAATTCACATTTTCATTAATGAGATACTCAGAAAAAGAGCGTTTATCCAAGAAAACTAACTGTTACCTCAAATAGAGAGCTTTGTCAACGCTACTTAAACAAGTGTACGGTTAAAGCAATTATTTCTAGCAGTTGAACGTCTTATCTCCAGAAGCGTGTCTCCGTTTTGTCAGTCTTCTTCTTAGCTCCGTTTTGTCAAGTCCCTTTTTGTCTCCGTTACACGTAACATTGTTCTGTTTACAATATAGGAAAAATACATACAGTGTACACTCAAATGAATTTATTCGAAAATATTTATTCTTTTTTTATACTTGTTTCGATTGCTTTGATGGTGGATGTTAGTTTTGGACAACAGTGTTTTGATGACGGGAACGAATTTTGTCTTGATGAAAATGATATACTTTCTGTGGATCTTTTGCCGGGGACGTTTTTATTCGCTGATCAGGTTGTCAAAAATGCGACGAAGACTGGGGAGGAAATGGCGGATGGGTCTATACGTAATGCGTTGAATAAAATGGATTATCATAGGCAAGTTTTGTTCTAATTGGGAGACTTGTTCTAAAAACTTTTGTTCTAAATTTGACGAGAAACTGGTACTTGAATTTTTTTAAATTTTTGTTGAAGACGAATTTTGTTGGTTTTTGTAGTATAAGGTTCTTTAATAAGTGTTGCAAAGTTCTCAAATTTAGAATATTAATAATAAATGAAATTTAGAGACATAATCAAGTTCAGTTAAAATTATATTTAAATTTAATTTGTGGATCTAGTATTGGTTCTTGAATTGTTTAAAACTTTACATGGAGGAAGAAGTTTTATTTTACAAACTTTTGTAATATAATTTAATAATTGTTCTAAAAATTTCAATTCAGAGTATTATTAATAAATAAAATGAACTACCTTAGTCAAGTTTAATAGCATTTATATTTAAATTCAAATTAGGAAAAAAGTATAGTTATTCTTGAATTGTCTAAAACTTCAGATGAAGAAAGAAATATTATTTTGTTGTTTTCATAACTCAATTTCATAACTCAACTTATTTATTGTTTTCAAGTTTCAATTTATTTACAGCCCCCGAATTTCCACTTGATATATTACAAAATTAATTTATATAAATTCGGTGGTTTCTAATAATAGGAAAAGAATGAACGAGTATTTATGTCACGGTTACATGGCAGAAGAAATCGTGAAAATGATGAGTACACCTCGAGTTAAAAGACGCCTTAGTATATCCGATAATACAGAGTTACATGATTTGATGGATGATGACAATGTTACCATTCATGATAAACTGCTGTCGGATGAGGGGAGTGTAAAATATAAAAACTGGTTGCAACGGTAAGCACTTTAAATTGTTAATACATCACTAAGTTAACTTGCAAAATATCTAAAATTTAGAAAACGAAATTTGTAGAAATTAAATTCGTTAAATTAAATCTAAAGAAAAAGAGATCTGACAAGTTTCATTATTAATTTTTAATTTTCTCAAAATTATTAACACATTACTAAATTAACTTGCAAAATATCTAAAATTTAGAAAACGAAATTTGTAGAAATTTAATTCGTTAAATTAAATTTGAAGGAAACTTAGACATTTGACAAGTTTTGTTAACTTTAAATTTTCTCAAAAATAATATCATTATATCATAATTTTTGTATTTATACTATTTGTTTTATCAAAAATAAAACTGTGTTTATGTAGAAGGACTACTTTGGACGACGTGTATCAGCATTACGCTCCCCATAAAAAAATAAAAAAGAAGCAAGGGTACGATAACGATTTCGAAGAGTTCGACGGGGAAGTTACAGGTTATGCTATGCAAGCACCTTTACCTTCCGGTAAAGTTGGTTACTACGATGAACAGCATGATCCGGATGGTAAATACTCTCTATTCATACAAATAAAATTATAAAAATTCAGTGATGATTCGCATTTAACAACTTCAAAAGAATTTATTCCATTTTTCCAAATACAAAGTTTTACTGTTGTCAATAAAAATATCTTCGAGTGCAGAAGGTTAATATACAGGGTGTTCATCGTTAAGGTTAATATACAGGGTGTGAAAAGGGGTGGTAGGTGAAACAATTCTGAACAACTTTTTCTTTTGCCAAATTATTGGTTGAGAAGGAAATTGAGAAAATTGAAAAGAAAAGGTTGTTAAGAAAATCTTCACAAACTTCATAATTTAAAGAAACTTATAAAAATGAACCTTTGACCAGTTCAGTAACTTTAGTATTGAAACGCAAGCTAAAAATATTGTGAAACATCCCTTAATTTTAGCTGCGACATGTTGGATTGTGAGAATGTGAGAATTTTGGAATTGTGGAATGCTGGAATGTGAGAATGTTAGAATTTTGGAATTGTGGAATGTTGGAATGTGAGAATCTGAGAATTTTGAAATTGTGGAATGCTGGAATGTGAGAATGTTAGAATTTTGAAATATGGGATGGTTAGAATTTTGGAATCGTGGAATGTTGGAATGTGAGAATGTTAGAATTTTGGAATTGTGGAATGTTGGCATGTGAGAATCTGAGAATTTTGGAATTGTGGAATGCTGGAATGTGAGAATGTTAGAATTTTGGAATTGTGGAATGCTAGAATGTGAGAATGTTAGAATTTTGAAAT